ACAACCACTACTTCGGATGTCTTTAGGTCTTCTTTTTCTTCTCCCTACCATTAGTCCCACGCTAGTCGCAGGGTTCTGATGTCTTTAGGTATCATAGCTAAATGAGACCCAATCTTCTCGGAGTTGGACCACTAAGTTCCGGGTCTCCCGAATGAGCGTGGGAAGGTGAGAAGAGCAGCGCGGCATCACCTTCATGATGGTTGAGTTATGACGAATACATCCGATTTCAGGGATTTATCCTTGTCGCTCTCCTTCGTTAATTCCCCCTAACCTATGTAGCTGTGTACAGAGGTAGCCGACGAGGGTAATTGTTCATAGTAAGGCCATTTGGAACCTCGAATCTGGCTTCCAAAGGGCCATTATAGGTATTGGAGTACCGATGGTTAATGGCCTTGTGCGCTAGTTTTCGTGACTCACAGTAGGGCGGTTTTCGGACAGCAGTTAGACACGATCGGATCAGGCCAAAACCGAAAATGCCTAAAAATGCGAAGAATTTGTGAAAGGCTGCGCAGAGGACTCGGTGGAACTAATGGGTTTTAACGGGTAGACTATCCGATTTAATGTATGTGGTGTACGGTCTCCCACCCTCCCCCCACCCCCAAAAGGCCAAGTAGGGTGTATGTACCTAGTGCTTAAATTGTTAACCTTACCAGGTGAGGGTTGGTTTTGGTCAAATCTGTAGTGTGTGAAGGCATTCAGTGTTTTGGGAGCTTACGCCGGGATTAAGAAGACTAAAGGGTAAATGCGATCACGGCTAGCCCACTAGGTTTAAATGGCCGTGGTATCCTGTCCAGTGTAGTACTGTATAGTACTAACATTGTCTCACCATGGCGGAACGGATAAGTGTCTGGACTAATGTTCGAGTGGTCAAGGGTTCGAATCCTCGTTGAGAAGAAGATAGTAAGGCTCACCTCGACGAGAAGTTCCATGAGGTATCCTTACTCATACTTCGGGTTGCTCAAGAATGGTCCCAATTGTTCGCTTCCGATATTTGTCGGAAAGAGCTGAGCGGTGTGGCGATTTTGTTGCCAGCCTTCGAAGTCGAAGCCGAAACTGTGTCTCCCACATGCTCGCGCATCTGGGAGAACACAAGACACCTTGTCCAGGTTGGCACCATTACTACTGCAGTTGATAGAACCCAGTACTGTTAGCAGATCAACCTGATAAGGTTCACAGTTATTGATCGAAGGCGCCATTGGTGTGTTCTCCCTCGTTATAGTAGTTTTTATCGTCGTAAGGCACCGACCGAAGCGGACTTTTGACACCGTTCCCATGGTAAATTATGCAGGCATGTCAGAATTTATGGTACCCGGTGTGCCAGTTGATGATGGCCATTCTGAGCAGAGAATGGTCAAGTATGACCATCGTGTCCCTCGTTTAGGGTGCAAGAGAAAATACGGCACCTCCATGTCGATTCGCCGCGTTCCTACTCCGGGGCTCTTCAGGTTTCTAGTTCTTCTCAACAGGTGTGCCTTGCACAAAGAAACAAAGTGTTTTGCTGGCTGTAATTCGCTTAAACATGCATTTGCCTCCATTTTCTCTGCCACCTCTTTGTTTTCCGTGCTGTCTTCGTGCAAAGGTCGTTTTCCACGCAGTTTTACACATTACACACGAAATTGGTGTTTCCACTCACAATGAATCCGGTTCCATGGCCGCCGCCATGGCCATGATTTTCTTTGTCCACAAAACCTTTCTGAGAATACAATTGAAAACTTCTGCAATCAGAAGGTTTTATTCTGACGGGATTTCCGAGATTTGCGACCGCCGAGTTAGCCTGAAAGATCTTTCATAAAAATTTTAAAAAATTGCTCATTTTTGGTCCATAATTGATCCGCAACAAATTAAGTTGGTTGTTTTGGAAAGGGTTGAAAGGGTTAATGGTGAAGTGAAAGTTGTTGATGGACCATTTTGGAGGACCGTAAAATTTATTCAAACTCGTTTCACCTGCTTTTTTGAAAACTATTTGGCGCTGATTTGTTCTTATCTGAATCTCTTCGGAGTTTCCGCAGCTCTTCCTGAAAATTTCCCCGTTTCAAGGTGGAAGTATCAATACCTGTGAGAGGGTCTTTTGATCCGGAGCGATACAGCCACAATTGAGTTGTTGGGCGTAGTTTGTTATCATTATCATCGTATCAGTGCATATCAGGATGCGCTTTATTCTCGCACTGACGACGTCCGCAAGATGACGGGTCATTTCATTAGAACTTGAAGCTATGAGGGGCAAGAAACTTGGAAAAAAAAATGAAAAATCGCTCATACTTCCTATTCTGCTTCTTTGCGCTCAAAAAAGCCCTGGCCCACTCAACAAAAGGAGAATGTTTAAGCTTTGGTTTTGAAATTGCACTTAATACCAACAGTATGCCCCAACTTATGTGCGCTTCTCTACTCGATTTTACCCTTTCTCGTGACAGCTATTGCGCAACAGCGGCGTGGATTTGGAACTAACTACATTACCCCTTAACTCAAACTTGCCTAGATGGTTCTATGGAGTTCTTTCCTCAACGTCTGAATTACTGGATATTTTAGTAATTCAATCGATTGTGCCTCTAATTAAGATATTATTTTTACCACTTTGTTTGTCACACTCTCCGATTGACCAAAAAAATAAATAAATAAATCTTGGTGATACTACAAGTGGTTACGCTTATGCGTTTATTTATGCTTGTTTTCCATTCAATACTAATCTCTTAAATTATTTATTTATTATTCTATTTATTATTTTAATTATTCTCGTTAAATTATTCAACTGTTTTACCAATATATTGATCATTCGTACATTGTCGAATTTTGAAGCCAGAGAAATCTCGTTCTCATATAGCTGTATGCCTGAAGTGTAAGGTTTCTCTATTTAGATAGCGATTTTCGTCAGGAAAAGTGCCTTTTTTCTGCCATGCAGCTGTTTTCCAAGTGTTTGATGGTTCAGTGAATCGATTTCCAGGACTAGAGCAGCATGTTTATCTGTTTATTTTACGCACTAATAGTTGCCACAAAGTGAATGCTGGGACAAGCATTTTATAGTCTGTCCATTATTTGTATAAAACATAGTTCCCCAGGCTTAGTGCTAGGGGGGGGGAATGCTGGGTGTGTTATGAAGTGTTCAGAGTTGGCGATCCTACGTGCGATTAGGCGATTGGGCCGATTAGTTATATATATGAAAAATGTACGTATGATTAGGCGAGTAGGCGATTAGGCGGGGAAGACTACATACGTATTGATTGGTTTGCTCCGCCCATAGAGCGTTGTAGGCGAGTAGGCGATTAGGCGATCGCTCAATGGGCGGAGCAACAAATCAATACGTATCCTTCTTTCATCGCCTACTCGCCTAATCGCACGTACGATCGCCAACTATGACTGCTCCGTATAGCGATGCCATCCCCTTAACAAGTACCTCAGCGCCGATCTCCTCTAGTGCGAGTTCGTTGTTCCTTCACAACTGTTCATGGACTGTGCTGACTTACTCAAGCTTGCTTTGCGCTTCGGCTTAGCGTCATCATTGACTGAATCCCCCAGATCGTTGACAAAGAGGGTTGTTTGATCAGGGTCGACGGCATGACGCGCTTGGTTTGCCAGGTATGGTCAGGCAACAAATGATTTGTTTCATTTGCTTTTCATTATTTTTATGGCTAATATATTTTGTTATTGAAAATCGATATCTATTACTGTGATAAAATTTTCGCAGGACTTCTATACGGCGTACTTCAATAAGTGAATGCATGAATAATTTCTCAATTTTTAGTTCATAGGAATGTTTAATCCTTGTAAAGGATTATCTAGTGCTTTTTGTCGAGTTCGAAAGACGGCATTTAATTTGCTGTTATTACAAATTGAATTTGAACCGCAGTTTTCTTCTAAAGCACATTTAAAAGTAAATATGATTGAATTGTGCGATTCAGCGTAAAAGGTGTTGGAAAAAGAAATGAAAAAGGAGGGGACTAAGGCATTTTATCTCACTATTAGTGGGTATATTCAATGCCTTAATTGCTCACTGTTTTCTCATTTCTTTTTACCAACCCCCGACAAATATTTTTTGAATGTCAGCTTATTTCAAAATTTTCCCGTTTCACGTTACATATATGTGTATACTCTATTTCGGAAAACGAGAAGAGCGTCGAGTGCAGACCACACACCACAAGTGACGACGGCCAAGAAAAAGTGGCTTTTCTTTCTTTTTCTTGGCCGTCGTCACTTGTGGTGTGTGGTCTGCACTCGACTCTCTTCTCGTTTTCCGAAATTGTGGGTATATAGCGCGTTACCAGTCGAATATATGATTAGGGTAGGGGGTCAAAGTTTAACCAACATCTATGTAGTCTAACTCTTGACTTACCTTACCCTTCCGGGTAGAAGTTTTCTTCCTTATTGTTTTTTTTCTGCCCAAAAGAATTCAGCGATTTGTCGTCTTTGGGAACTAACTTACTCTTTCAAAACAAAATGCACTTCGGCGTGTGTTTGTGGGTGTGCACGCGGGGCGGTGATTATTTATCCACACGCGGCGCCGCTGTCGTCGATCATCATCATTATCCATTGACCTATTGTTAACCCTCGACGGGTGTGTAGACCATGTCGTCGCGCACCTCATGCATTAATACGACATTGGTAGGTGTGGATCGGCATCGGTTGAAAGGCAAAATGATGGGGAGAGGGGTGTATGCGCAACCGGGCAGCCGAGCCGCCATTCATGCGACCACCTCCTCGCTCTCGTCTAACCAACACGATTATGCATCGATTTCGTTTCTGACGGTGGTGTGGAGCTGGCAAATGGCCAGAACTTGCTTTTTTCCATTCTCAATCATTCTCTTCATCCTATTCTTTCATCGTACCTTCTTCTAGCGCTCTCCTCTTCTTCACGTGTGACCCTCTTCAATGTGCCCGTTTCCCTCCCTTAATTGGACCAATTCGGCCCTTATTCACTGACGGGTTTTCAGGCCGCTTCGCTGGCCTCGTCCTCCTCGACGCCATCCGAACGCAATGGACACACCGCTTCGGCCACCAATCAGCTGATTATGCACAGGTGAGTGGAGCTCCCTAGACCTTCCTAGACAATCTTTTCTGTGAGCAACGGAACCAGAGCTTATTTCGCCCGTCTGTTCTAGGTATAAGGCGAAATCGTCGCAACTACAATCACCGGTGTCGTCGAAGCGCACAATGGCCAACGATGTCCACTGCGCACAGCCTGGAACGAGCAAGGATAGCAGTTCGGGCGAGAACGGAGGTGTGCACCATGATCGTAGGCCAATAATTATACTTGCCGCTCGTGAAGGCCTTGACCACTGCACTTATTTCAGAGCCGTCAACACCGAAATCCGGCCGAAAATGGAAGAAGACGAAAGCGGTCAAACAGACCAGTAGCAGTACTGGCGGTGGCGCTAGTGGTGGTGTTGGAGGTCCTCCGAGTGGCGTCAGTGCCAGCAGTGCTTCCGGAACCACCTCAGTGGCACCGGTCCAAAACGTGCTCGGCGTTCGCTTAGCCGACTGCCCAACATCGGGTCCTGATGATGTGAGTTCTTCCTCCGTTCATTCATCCATTTATTGCCTAAATGTTTTATTTTGTATTAACATAGCTCGAAAAATTCTAATTACCGTTTCTGGTGGTTATTCATTTTTTTCGTGAAATTTGTTTTTATTGAAGTGTTGCCTGAGAAATGTGACCGAATTAACAACAATTACAGCTCGTACCATTGTGTGTGCAAATTTGCGTAAGTGTCGTCGAGGCGCACGGTCTGGATACGGTAGGCATCTACCGTATACCGGGTAACACGGCCGCGGTGAATGCACTCAAGGAGATGTTCAGTCATGGTCTAGACACGATGACGTTAGAAAACGTTAGTTGCTTTTTTTGAAGAGTTCTGGACAGTTACCTATTTTTTCGACTCGTATTCTTGGTGGTAAGGGTGGTATAGTGGCAAGTGGTGTCGTTTGCCACGCGCACGGTCTGGGATCATGTCTTGGATCGATTCCTCCCCGAGTCAATGAAATTCCTCGGTTAGGCCCGGGGTCAACTCGTACTCCAACTTCGTACAACCCCTCAATGGCCTTCTTTTCT